TAAGGATCTCATCAAATAAACGTGGAGGAGTATTTCATTTTTTCCAATCTAGGAGATTCCATTTTTCAAATTCCACTTTTTTGTTGAATATAGTATATCCACCATAAATAGCAGTGACTAATCTCTTTGCATCGTAGATTTTTTTTGAAAAGGCCTTAATGTTAGTCACGAGACCCCTTCCATACATACTGTCAGAGATCAAACTTTCTGACAAGATGCTTAAGGAATTCATCTTAATATTTATTATTAGGAAAAATTAATTTGGAGGTCTTTATAGTTTTCATCAATTTTGCATTAGGTCCTTATACTTTTTTCTTTTTATTAATTCCTTTAATTTGTTACTGTAAAATTAATTATTCCTTACTGTTAAAAAACTATTAACGCGGTTAAGATTTCCGTTAGGACATCCGAGACATCTCCTTCACCATCTAGCCTGACCCCTGTTTCCTCCAACCATCTCTTGCCCAGTTGACAACACCTCCACCCTCTTCCGTTCACACTACCCCACTATCTCTCTCTTCTCTTTTGGCGCCAAAAAGTTGAGTCCGTAATCTGAAATTCTGGCGCAGGAGTTTATGCTGATGAGGATGTTCGACAACTTGACACAACCATGAACTATGCTTTGTGCAACCACTTCGTGCAAATACTCAAACCCTCTTTGTGCTCCTGCCGCGAATTCTCAACCTCTTTTGTCTTATGCAAAAGTGAAACCCACTTGGGTTTGATGCAGATACACTTACAGGCTTACCCAATTCACTCACTATGATTCTCTCGTCAGCTTCTTGTGAGAAACCCATGATGGGAACTATGTTGGGGTGTTGTGCTGATGAGAGCCGTTTTACCGTACAGGAGAACACAAGTCCTGCGTTGCTCAGAACAAGCCGAGGGTGAATCCTTTTGACTGCTATGAGTTCTTCTTTGTCTGAGTAATCTTGCGTAAGCAGTTGCGAGTCAGCCCTTGTCGACGATTCTCCAGTGGTTGAAGCCTCTGTTTCGGCGTCATAGTTTCTTTCTTTGTCTGGAACCAGAATGTGACGAAGAACAGGAAAAGAGGAAAGAAAAGAAGGAAGGATGAGAGAAAGACAGCAACCAGCCAAGAAAAGAAAATAAATCAAGGTTTCAAAATCGAATGGAAGGAATATGAAAGCATGGTTTATTGCCTTTTCTTCTCCAACGATGATAACAAAAGCGCACAACTGTAAAATGGTTGGAGGAGGAGAAAGAAAATGAGATTATCGAAGATGATGATGGAGGGATGAAGGTGAAAAATCGAGTACCGTGGCTGATTAAAGACCATGGGGGATTTTGAATCTGGAAGAGCAATGGACTAAGATGAGTTTGAAGACGAGAAGAGAGAGATATAACAAACCTCTTGGAAAATGGAGGAGTATCGAAAAACATGCAAAAAAAATGTTTTGCTCTGAATACAGCAAACAGCAAAGCTAAAATCTGGGGAAGCGAGATTACGTTAGTTAACATTTATTTATTCATTTTTATTAAAATATTAATTAAGATTTGACAAAGAATAAATCTATTCTTTGCTCCATTTTTCTTTTCTGTCTTTTTTAGTTTTTAAGAATATCTATAAGAATTATATTCTACTTTAATTATTTGACATATCTATTATATTACTATATATGTATAGAATATTATTTTTATTTAATTATTACATGACCAGGCCAATCTAACCAATTCGATTGGCTGAATCATGATTCGCTAGTCTTTCTAGTTGAACATTCAGTCCAATTTTAAAATACTGATAGATACTTGAATTTTATTCTCTGCAAAACCTAAAATAGCGGTTGTAAATTTTCTTATGTTTTTCTTGTAAATCATCCTATTTTACTTGTTTATTCACATCTATACACTTGCATTTCTCTTTCCATGTAACCTAAAATAGGAGCTGTAAATTTCCTTATATTTGTTAGTACCTATATTTAATGTAAATTTCCTTATATTTTTTAGCACCTAAGTTTAACTCATTCCCACTCAGCCCCTATATATAATTTTATTTTTTAAAATATACGGATTAACCTTTTTTAAATGGTTAAACTGTATAGATTGAGTTGCATTAAGTTCAAATTCAAAGATCTTTATAATTAAGTTAAATGATAAGACCTGGGTTGCATCAAATTAAAAACTGGGGACTGAGCTACGATCGGCTCCAAATTGTAGGGACCTGAAAGATTAAGTTTCCCATTAGGTCAATATAATCCATCAAGTTAGTGTTCATGGCATCCTCCCTCCTTGGGCTTTTCATGCATGATTTGAGCTTGGCAAAGCAAAAATGAGGCCCATTTACTTATTTCATGGGTATATGTTATGGGCTTTCAATACTATTGATATGGATTCAAGAAGAATTTGTTGTTGCCCTCTTTTGAATCCATAAAAAAGTAGCATGAACTGAGACTTTAATTTTTTTTATTAACTTATTCTGCATTAATCTAAATAAATTAATTAATATAGAATATATCTAGTTAACGTATAGATGAAGAGTATATTTTATTTCCTAACATAATAATAAAAAGACTAAATTATTATAATGTCATTGAATTTAGTAAGAACAAATGCGATTCTGCCAAGATAACTCATTGATTTAGGGAAAATATCTATCAGCATCATAAAAAAAGAAAAAAATTAATGTTTGCTTGGTTTTAGCAAAATTTAATGAAGTCTGTTTTTAAAGTTTGTTCCCCCAGAAACTTCAAAATGATCTGTGCGAGTCATGCGTTATATATTTGTGTCCTTTTTCATTCAAGTTTCTCTTGACTTAAATTATCAACATACATGTTTTATGACAAATGAACATAAATTTTACATGTTCAGTACCTATAAATACTACTAATCTTTAACTTATATTAACAAATTTGGTGTGATAAAATTAGTTTTAAAAACTGTTTCATTTTTTTTCCAATATATGGGAGGAACTTGACTCTATAATGGATAGGCACATGATAAAAAATAAATTAAAATGAGTGGGTTTTATTCTTCACTATTTATCAGTGTTTATAAAAACGAGCTGAAATGGATAGTCTAACCGGTCGAACTATCAGCTAGACTAAGGGATGGCTCGTTTCTAGCGTAAAAACTAGTTTTGTGGTTGGGCCATTTCAAACTGTCGTTCGACCTCTATTAGGCTGGAACTGGTTTTAGGCTGAAATTCTTTATGATTATTCAAAGACCGGACAGTCTGAGAGCTGAGAAACAACCAAGTGAAGGGGAGAAAAAGAAGAAGAGGAGGATCGGACACAGAAAATATAGGAGACGAGGAGAAATATAACCAGAAACCAACCCAACAGTAACAAGAAAAAGATGAAATGATCCAACCTAAACTCAACATAAGAAAAATAAAAATATAGCTGGAGTTGTGTTTTGATTTCTAAAACATTAGAAACAGTCGTGGAACTGCAAAACCAGAGAAGAAAAGTGAAGGCTCAAGAGGAAAGTTGCTTTCTGTGACAGAAGCATTTAATCACCTACGCCTAACCAATTACCAATGGATCCTAAAATTGCAGTTGTGCTAATATCCATCGGATAAAAGGCTAAAAGAACTAAAGTGTTACTTGAAGGCTAAAAGAACTAAAGTGTTACTTGAAGGCAATCCAAGAAAATAAGTGCTTGAATTATATTAATAATGTTCATTTAAAGTTGACCACCAAGAAAATAAGATACTCCTGTCCGTCTTTGTTTTAAGCGCCTCTATGATATAGCATGTTTTGTTTAAAATATTATTTTTTTCATCAATATTTTTAGCTAATTATAAAATCTTTTAACTAGTTAACCATGTATAAAATCTAATAAGGAGATTGTATTTGGTTCTAAATATAATATCTCACTTCACATTTTTTTTTCAAAATATCGCTATTAATTGAAAGATAATGAGAAAATCGTAAAAAAAGATCCTAGAAATTGAAAAATTACATACAAGGATCTATTCAAAAAAGTTACTGTCAAAACCCATAATATTGTTATCAAAACTTATACTAATGTTGTCATGGGTTCTTATTTGTAATTTTTTTATTTTAACGGTCTTTTTTTTATGATTTTTTCAAAGATAATTTCACTAAAGGATTGTTTCATTGCATATGATTAAAAATGATAGTTTAAAAAAATTAATATATATTTGTGATAAATAGCAAACTTAACTAATTTTTTTATTCGTTGCAAATTAATTATCCAAACTATTATAGTAAGGATCGGAGGTAGTAATTTTAATTGAGGGTAGCTTTTGATATTTTACCAGCAATAATTTGTTTTAAGTTTTAACTACTTCATTAATCCATACAAAGTTATTATTAGGTGTTTATAATAAGGATGGGAGAGTCTATATTATTATTCTATATAGTTTTATATACTATGAAATAAATAAATAAATATGAATGATCATTATTATAAATATAATTGATAAGCATATATATCTTAATAAAATTATAATCAAATATCAAATATTTTCACCTTGTAGCATTTTAGTAAAATAATGTTTTTTAACTGTTCGTAAGAGCTGGTTGACTTGGTTCAGACTGCGAAATGTCCACTTACAGGTCGCATAAATAAATGGAGCCCCAAGCCACTTGTTTTTTTGTTGAAAACTTTTAGAAATTAAGCTAGTAAGAATTGGCTTTGGAGTGAGAAGCCATTATCAAGTTAGGAATTGAAGCGAGTTTTGAGAAGTCGGACGAGTTACAAGATGAAAGTTCAGTTACGCTGAAGGAGAAGAAAGAAGGAAGGGGAGGGGAACAAAATCGCATAATTTTCCTAAAATATTTTTATTCTGACGGCTATTTGTTTATAATAGAAAAGTTATTGTACACTTATGAATTTGGCAATAATATACTGTTTTAATTAATTAATAATAGAAGTCATTAATTTACTAAAAGCAATCTGTTGGCATGATTATCCCAACATCCTCGAAACTCAAACTGCATAAGATAACATAGTAGACAGAACGAGGAATATAGAGCATATTATATATTAACATCGATTATATATATAGATAAACAGCCTGAAGCTACTTTGTTTCATATAGATAATGAAGCAACCATACAAACATCATTCACAAGAACAAATAAACAAAAGATAAACTTTCATGATCAAGAAAGCTCATTTTCTGCTAAATAAGCTTCTCAATTTCCCTCTTTCCAACCTGTCAAGTAGCATTTTAGCTCCTGGAATGTCCATCTCTTTAAGCTTCTTCAGGTATCCAACTGCCCCATAAGCAATCATCAGCCTCTTACATTTCCTGCTTGAAGAAAGTGAACATAAACAAGGAATTGCATATTTCTTTGCACTATTGTGTGGGCTTGGATCAAGCAACTGAACCAAATTTGGCACACTCTTATCATTCCTTCTCACTTCCCTGCGGTTCTGTGTTACTGTCATCAAGCTCCCGATGGCTTGCGCTGCAAATTCTCTTGCGCTGTTCGATTCAGCTTCCAGCATGTTGATGAGCAGTGGGATGAATCCAGCATCAGCCACCATTTTCTTCATTTCTGCAGAGATCAAAACTCTACATATTGCTGACACAGCAGCCTGCTGAGCTCCAGAAGATCTCGAGTTTAGCACGTGGATCAAACGAGGAAGGAGGCCTAATGAGATCAAATCTCGCTCACCGATTGATCCGACTAGATTCCTCAATGCAGTGACAGCTGATTCTTGAGGGATTGGAGCATCAAGATAAGCAAGAAGGCTCCTAGCTCCCCCTTCTGATATAACTGACCTTCTCAGGTTCTCATTGCTTGATGTGAGATTCTTCAAGCATTCTGAAGCATATTCCTTGCTCCCCACTAGAATTCCATGATCAAGGAGATTGATCATGGTTTTCACAATTCCTTCTTGAGCCAAAGCTTGTCTCAATTCAGGAACAACCGATATGTTCTTCAAAGAACAAGCAGAAGCAGATTGGGACACGGAATCCCCATTATGACAGAGCTCCATTAGTGGTCCAACGCCGCCATTTCTGACGATTTCTCTGGCTGATTCCTCAGACATGGACAGCCTTTGGAGACATATTGCAGCCTTCTCTTTTCCAATAGCCCCACCAGATTCAATAAGCCGAATAAGAAGCGGCAAGACACCTTCAGAGACAAGCCAATTCTCACAGTTCCCAGATTCTGCAAGACAACATATGACAGTAACAGCCTTTTCCCTTATCCTAGTACAAGTAGCCGTTAACAATTGAACTAAAGAAGCCATTTGGATTCTTCCTAGAACAGCCATAACACTCTTTTCTTCTTCCTTCATTGCTTCAACAAGATTGTCTATAGCTCTGTTCTTTGCCTCCAAGTCACCAATCTGAAGGCGCGCAAACAATTCTCTTACCTCATTCTCTTGTTTCACATCATCAGACATACCCAATGGAAAAGCAGACTCACCAAGGACACCAGACTTGATCAATAGCCTACAATCTCGTAAATTCAAATCCAATTTCCCAGATAAAGCATCGAGATCACTCTGCATTCGAAGCTTACCTTCGTACCTCTCCTTCACGCATAACTCGGATAAATTGATGGCTTCCTCGAGGGTCTTCGACACAGCCTGCAATTGCTCCTTACAGAGAGAATTCTTGGAGAAGCACGGATGGCTAGACAAGTCTGATAAGCATGATGGGATCTGTTCTATCTTTGAAACAATCACTTTCCACCTACCAGAAAAGCCTTTGACCTCTTTGGCCTTGTTAACAGCAAAGGGTACTAGTTCTTGCGCTCGCAAGAACCAGTCTTCTGTGGAATTGTTATCATCAACTTCTCCACGTTGCTCCACCATTTTCTGATATCTGGTTGGGATAAAAGAAGAGATAAACAAGTCTTCAGAGAAATGATCAACAAGTGAGGTTTTGTAGAAGGCAAAAGAGACGTAAGATTAGTACGGAGGATTAAAAAAAGAAGTGGTGGAGCAGTTGCAATCATAAAATTCTTAAATTGTAAATTAAGATTCTAATAGAAAATTCCCAGACGCAAAAGAACAACATGGGCCAACCGCGACATCAATCAACGGCCTCAAATGGAATCTATTGAGTGATCATAACGTAGTTTGTTTATTGGCAACATGATTCAAACGATAAAACTTAAGTACCTAACGATGTCCCACGAGTCTGTGGAGTTGTATCAAACCAATCAACCATAACAGTTTTTTTTTTTTTTAATAAAAGAAAAACACTATCGAATACAACTTTATTAATTGAAATGAAGAGAAACATAGAATTGACTTCTAACGGCTAGATATGGCATCAATTTAGAAACTGACGGCGGATTCTTTAATGATATTCCAAAAAGGCCCTTCACTAGAGGGTTAAAAGTTAAAACAGATGCTCAAGAGCCAGGGTTGATATGTAATACAGTGTTCTCCTAGGGGTATATTGGTAAACAAGAAAGATATCTCTAACTTTACTTTTCATGAAGTTGGTAGAGCGTACGATTAAAATTATTTCTAGATATGGACTTTTCATCAACGGTCAAGTCAGTGCTATCCTTGGCTGGGTTCTCATATTTTTCTTCCTGGTTCCGGAAAGACAGATGCCTTTATTTCAAGTGAAGAAGAAGAAGAAAGTACATATATAAATCATTGGAAAAGAAAGAGAAGGGAATTCTAAACAACATGTTTCAATCATACCTTCAAGTCAAATTGATTCAATCAATATTCAAAAGATTCGCCATCAAATGCCGCTTTAATCTTCTTATCCTCTGCTTCCATATCCCCAGGCCAAAACAGTAGAAGAAAATCAGAGACTTCATGTTCATGTAGAAAGACAAGAAATAGAAAGAAAAAGAAGAAAATTGATCTTTTTTTCTTTTTGATCTGGGAGAAAATCAGAGATCAACAGAGGGGGGGGATAAACTTGAAAGACCAACCTTTAAGATTGAGAAACCAACTCAATGTAGCTTCGTCTTCTGGCTGCAGAATCTCTGTCTCACACAAAAATTGCTTCAAAAATCCGCAGCGAGAAATGCCCAGAAACAGTTTCTCAGAATACAAACACCCAGAAATAGTTTATTATGTTTACTGATAGAGAAACAGGCATAAATGGCTCGAAATCTCAACGAAGGTGGTCAAGTTTGAAAATCCGGCTTGTCGGAAGCTCTCCTTGAAGGGATGACACGACACAAGAAAGAATAACGATATAAACTATGGAAGTCAGATTCAAAAAAATGACGCTTCTCCATTCTCTCTCTTCTCTAATGGAAGAGTATTGTTGTCAGAAGATTCCTCCAGTAAAAGCATTATTTTAGTCTGTTGCAGGGAGAAGGAGGGCATAAGCTTGGGACAGCGAAGCATAATGATCGAGCAGGTTTGACGATTGAACGGCTAGGATTGTGTTTGGGAGACACAACACAACCATCGGGATATGATAAAATTTGAAAAAGGTGCTGACGTGGCTATGACTGCCACGTGTGAAGTGGGGACGATTTTTCTACTCTCTTTCTCTTGTTAAGTGATGTTGGCTAATGGCTTGAAAATGTCCCACGTGTGAAGTAGACAAAATAAGAGAAAAGGATTTATCCGTCTCTCAACGATTAAATTAAGCTGCCAGCCTGCCAAGATGCTTAAAGATATGTTCGAATTAGCAGCAAAATAAGTAATTTATTTTTAATTTAACTTTTAAAAAATTAAAATTGAGTAAAAGTTAAATTAAATAATATAATTTATGTTTAGATTAAATTTTATAAAAATTAGTTCATAAAAATAGAACAGTCGTGTGGATTAGTTTTTTAAATAAATCAGTTTGTAAAAGTAAAATTGTTTGAATTTTTATTAAAAATACAAATTTAGTTGTAAAATTAAAAAAAATGTATGAATTTATTAAATAATACTCATTTTAGTTGAAAATGTAAGCATTAAATAGCTAAATCATATAATTCAAAAAAAATTAAAACATATTTAATGATTTAACTAACATTTCTTATTTTGTGAAAAAAAGTTAACTAACATCTTATGATATGGATTAGAAGGACTATTCTTAGGTCTTATTTACAAATTACTTTTTAATATGTTTCAAACAAACTAAAAAAACTTTAAACTCTATTAACTCTCATTTATAATTCAACAAGTTTTTAATTTTATCTTTATTTAATATAAACTATACATCATGAAAATAAAGTCAATAAATAATAAATGAAATGTAAAATTATACATTCAAAGGAAAAAAAAAATCTCTCTCCTCCTTATAAATAAGGCAAAAAAAATTGCTTTTCTTTTTATCTTATAAATAGAATTTGAGGAGTAACAATTAATTTATTCTCTCTTAACTTCTCTCTCCATGATAATAATTATTTAAAGTAGGACCCACATTTTTACCCTTCTCACCCCACTTTTCCGATGGCATAAGCATCAAATTTTAGCTTTTGATTTAGGATCCATTTGAATTAGCGGTAAAATAAGTAACTTATTTTTAATTTGACTTTTGAAAAAGTTAGATTGGATAATATGATTTATGTTTAGATTAGATTTTATAAAAGTGACTTTTGAAAAAGTTAGATTGGATAATATGGTTTATGTTTAGATTGGATTTTATAAAAGTTATTGTGTAAAAGTAAAAAAGTTGTTTGGATTAATTTTATAAATAGTCAGTTTGTAAAAGCAAAGTTGTTTGAGTTATTATTGAAAATGTAAGTTTAGTTATAAAATAAAAAAAATACTTGAATTTATTGAATAATACTGCTTTTAGTTCAAAATGTAAGCATCAAATAGCTGAATCATGCAACTCAAAAAAAATAAAAACATATTTAATGATTTAATTAACATTCTTTATTTTGTGAAAAATGTTTAACTGACATCTTATGTTATGGATTAAAAGGACTACTCTTATGATCCTATTTATAAATCACTTCCAATATATTTTAAGCAAATTAAGAAAGCTTTTAAACTTTATTAATTTTTATTTATAATTTAATGAGTTTTCAAATTTATTTTTATTTAATATAAATTACACATTATGAAAACAAAGTCAACAAATAATAAATGAAGGCAAAAAAAATTGTACATTTAGAGAGAAAAATTCTCTCTCCTCCTTATAAATAAGGCAAAAAAAATTTTTCTCTATTTATCTTATAAATAAGATTTGAGAAGTAACAATTAATTTACTCTCTTATAACTTCTCTTTCCATGATAATAAAATTTTTAAAGTAGGACTCATATTTTTTCCCTTCTCTCTCCACTTTTCCAATGACACAAGCATCAAATTTTAGCTTCTCTCTCCACTTTTCCAAACGGACACATAAGCACTTAACATTTTAAAGCTATGCCAAGCATCAAGGCTGTGTTTGGATCTCCGTTTGCAATGGCAAACGTGCCTAGGAAAATGTAAAACCCACGTTAATAGCATATTGGAAGAAATTTATTTGTTTGGCACAACGTTTTTTAAATGGGCTTTTTTGTTTCATCCTGCGTTGTAAGTGAAGCTAAAATTTTGCTGCGATGTCCATTACAAACGGGGAGAGAGAAGGACAACAGTGATGAAAAGACAAAAAGCTACATCGCATTGCTGAGGGGGAAAGATAAAATCAATAAAAACAGCCAATAACTTAATTATTTGCAAAAATATCCTAAGAAAAAAATGTATGCATTAAAAATTTTCAATTGAGCTCTAAAAGTCTGCCAAAAAAAAAAACTTAATAGCTATATATACAAAAATTACGTTAAATATATCTAATTAAGTTTGTTTTTACTATTTACAATTTTTTACAACAGGTTAGCTCTTTATTTTTGTGCCTTTAATTTTAATATTTCTCTCAAAGTTATTAGATTATATGCATTATATATTTATAAATAAGAGTCATGTCTTTTTTAGTCATTTTACATATAAACTTACTTTTTAATTACTCATTCAAACAAGTTTCAATTTATTAAACTGATTTTTTATAAATACTAATCCAAACATAAATCACATTATACTAACCGACTTTTACTCCAACTCACGTTTATAAGAGTTAGATGAAATAAAAGTTAAGTTTGCCACTGCTAATCCAAACACACCCTAATAAACATGCCAAAAATGCTTTTAGCTCCTAAAAGCTCCTTAAACACCACTCCAACGTGGCTTCAAATAGGCACTAAATATCCAGAAGTATTCATTAAGGAGAAATCGGCACCTAAAAAATTTTATTTAGTTTTTATGTGTAAAATATTATGGCCGTTACTTACTATTAAGTTTGAGTGTTAAATTATACAATTTAACCGGTATCTTTAACAATTAAACTTAATAGTGAAAAATGATTAAGGATAAATATGTTACGAAATAAAATTTCAGGACATATAAAAGTCTAAAAACTTATAAGCATTGAGTACTTCTTTATGTATACTTCCAAAATATTTAAGCATCTTATTCCTTTAATTAACTTTTATCTTCTATTCAACTTAAAAAGTGCCAATAAACATCGCGCAAGCTAAATTCACGTCCGCTGAGGGTAAGTGTCACAAAATATAAAATATAGGGGTTTTCAAAAATAAAATTATTCATCATTAACATAAAATTAAGAATAATTATACTCACAATAATTGTTTCCTTACATATAATCTACAATATAAGGTGCTTAAATATAAAGGTTTATTTTTGTAGCAAAAATATCATGACCGTTACCTGCTGCTAAGTTTGAATGTTAAATTATGTCATTTGACAAGTGTTTTTAACAGTTAAACTTAACGGTGAAAAATAGCTCAGGACACATATGTTACAAAATAAAACTTTCAGAATATATAAAAAAATAAAAATAAAAAAAAACTCACAGGTGTTGGATATTCCTTCATGAATACTTTTAAATTATTTGAGCACCTTATGCCTTAAATTAACCTTTGTCTTCTATTTAACTTCAAAAGTGCCGCTTAGCATCACGCGAATTAAATTGGCGTTCACTGAGGGTAAGTGCCACAAAATATAAAATATAGAGGTTTTTAAAAATAAAATTTATTTATCATTAACATAAAGATAAAAATAATTAAACTTATAATAATTGTTTCCTTACATCGATATATATAATCTACAATTTAGTTGATTTTGATTTAATCTGAATTTATATGGCAAAATGAATCTAGATACATGTTGAATTAGAGCTATGTCATTAATTATTAACCTTGTTTCTTTGATAATTCCCTATGATCCTATAGAGGATATGATATTTAGAATAGGCATAATGCTATTTATAGTATGTGTCTAAAATTGTAATCAATTTTTTTTTATTGTTGTTCCACCCAAAAGGTACCATTTGAATTTCAAGATCTAAAATCAGAAATTCCTGCAAAAATATATTAGAATTTGCTTTTCTTAATTTTTTTGGGTCATCAAAACTCAAAAGGAAAGCTATCATTTTTACAAAAAAAGGGGGGGGGGACTATCATTAATATTCACGAAGAGATTACAACAACAACAACCAAAAAAAAAAAAAACCAAAACATCAAAGCAAAGCAAAACAAGAATTCCAAACCGAAACCAAACAAAAAGAAGCAACAAACTATAGAATTAGAATTTTGAACTTCATGTACTATTTGGAAATTTAAGTAGAATTAAAAATTTTAAGTATAAAAAACAAGACTAATTTAGAATTTTAAAATTCAAGTAGCATTTCTTTTAAGGAATTTTTCCAAATAAAAGCTTTCATTTGAAAAGAATATTTACAGCAAACAACAAAAAGTAAGATAAATTACCTTTTTTTTAACAGGGATTAAATGGAAAACGTACACATTTATTAACAAAATGATATATTCCCACATATAACACAGATTTTGAACCTGTGACTTCCCTCTCATTTCTCAAAGAGATGGTGTGAGAGGTGTGGGTGCCATTTGATGTCATTTCTCAAAGAGATGGTGTGAGAGGTGTGGGTGCCATTTGATGGAAAGACAAATTACCTGTTATTATCCCCTTCCTAAAGACACCAACATGGGGAATTATCAAATTGTGCAATGATTAGATATCACATGAGCA